CAGACAGTGTTTCTCAGCTATTCATAAGGTTTTCCCTGGCCAATTCTTTGAGAAGTGGATAGCCTCCTCCTTCTTCCTAGTCTGTCTCAGTCTGCAAGCTGGGCTGATACCTGTGCAACAGGTGTACCCCACTGGGTTTAATACACCAGTGCATAGCCTCAAGACTCACAGCAACACATCACAGTAGGACAAACCGACAGACAAGTTTGTCTCCCTTAGCTATTGGAAACTCTCCAACCACCCTTACCTGGATCCCTGTGGCTAAATCTTCAATCTGTTCCAGTCCCCTTTGCCTTTTATGTTCTCTTCCTGCTTTCCACCTCAATGCTTGTGGAGGGTGGCCTGGGTCTCCTCTCCTCACCTTGCTCCCTGTGGTTGAATCCTTGATCTGTTCCTATCCCCTTTGCTTTTTCTGTCCTCTCCCTGCCTTCCCACCTCGCTCCTTGTGGAGCATGGCCTGGGTTCTCTGTCTTCACCTGGGTCCCTGCAGCTGACTCCTCGATCTGTTCCAGTCCCCTTTGCCTTTTTTTATCCTCCCCCTGCTTCTCACCTTGCTGCCTGTTCTTAGGTCCCTGGAATCCAAATGAGAATGCTATCACTTTAAAATCCAAAATGGCCACCACTTTTAAACATTCAAAATGGCTGCACCCTCGGTCACTTTAAATATCCAAAATGGCAGCTGCTTGTCAACATTCAAAATCGCTGCACCCTCAGTTATTTAAATATCCAAAATGGCTGCCACATATAAACAATCAAAATGGCTGCACCCTCCAAACAAACAAGAAGGTCAGTGAAAAAAAACAAGAAAACCTTCAATATGTGGGGATAGGGCAATAAGAAAAAAAAAGGCAGAGAAGGAGAATAAGGAAGAAAAAATGGGGAGAATGCAAAAAGAACAACAAGGAATGGGCTTAACCACAAGAAAAAAAGAAGAAGAAAAAAAAAGAATAATTTGCAACCAGGAACAGGGAAAAGAAAAAATCTGAATACTAGGACCTGGGAGGGGAAGAATAAAGAATAATAGTAAAAAGGACAAAAGTATTAATAAAAGCAGTACTTTTAAAACAGACAAAAGCAAGCAAACTAAAAACCAGAAAAAAAGAGAGAAAAAAAATCGGGGGAGAGCAGGGCAGGGCACCCAGGCTCCGTTCGAGCACACAAAGTGGAATGGAGTTCCTGTGGGCCCAGAAGGTGGGAGGGAGTGGGGGATGGCTGAACCTCCGTTCACCAAGCTGCTGTGGGCTATAAGAGTAGCAAGGGAAATGTCGCACCTTTTCAGTCGTCCAGGTCCGGAGTGTCCTTGGTAGTTAAGTATCTTAGTTCAGTTAGGGCAATTCCCACTGTCAAATCAGGTTTACATAAAATAGCAATCACAGCAGTCTTTAAGGAGCTCTGGTGGCACGGTGCCTAACGCAGTTGATTACTAACCAGAAGGTTGACAGTTCAAACCCACCAGCAACTCCTTGGAAGGCAGACAGGGCAATCTACTCCTGTAAAGGTGAGTCAGAATCGACTGGACAGCAGTGGGTTCAGTGACTGCAGTGACGGTACTTCCTGTGGCCTGTATTGAGGCATTATGCCTGGAAGCTCAGACTCAAACCTCTGAATTTATTCTTGGATTAATAAAGCTCATCTGTCACCATGATGCCCAGACCATGTTTTATTTTTGCACCCTGTACCATTGCTTTTACAAAATTGGACTTTGTCACAATGCTTTCCACTTACCCTGAGGGACATCATACAAAAAACTCTGTTAAATGGGTTATTCTAGTTGGACTTATTTTATGTAGACACATGGCTCACCACATTACACAATGTCATCCTTTTAAGATCCAGTAGGAGAAATTTTGCTCTGGTTTCCATTTTCCCCATCACCAACACTGACTCGTGACACTAATCATGTTTCTCTCTTTGCTCTGGTTCCTGGGACTGTCAAAGACAAACGTGTGACCCCTTTCAGATGCCATACAGGGTCTTGGGAATGAATTGGGATGATTTTTCCTGCTTCAGTTTTGGTTGTTGTTGGGTGTTGTCGAGTCGATTCTGACTTGTAGTGACCCCATGTGCCAGGGAAGAGCTGCCCCACAACGTTTTCTTGGCTGTAATCTCGACAGAAGCAGATCACCAGCTCTTCCTCCTGAGGAGATGCTAGGTAGTTCTGAACCACCACCCTTTTTTGCTGTGCAGCTGAGCACTTAAACATTTGTCCTACCAGGGCTCCTTTCTGTTTTATTTTGTCCTTTTGTATTCTTTGACCTGATCTTTGGCTTAGTTATTTTCAATTGTATCAGGTTATATGGATTTCAGAAGCCACTTTTAATTTTTTTTTGGAACAAGATGGGAAATAAAAAATTTCCACCAAACGGAAAAAAAGAAAGTAAGAAAGAAAACAGGGATGGAAGGACAGAGGGAAGGGATGAAAGAAGGGGAAACAAATAAAGAAAGGATATTGAGTTCTTGGTCCTGGTCTGTTTCAATGTTCAGGCCAGGAGTTAAGCCTTCCTAGCTCTGGTAGCGTAGTCTTAAGAAGGCTGGCGGTTCAAACCCACCAGCCACTCCTCGGAAGGAAGATGGGGCAATCTACTTCCATAGTGATACTGCCTCGGAAACCCAAAGAGGGGTCGCTATGAGTTGGGTCCGACTTGACGGCACATAACAACAACAACAACAAGCTTCCCTAATCTTCTTTGATCTAGCAAGGAGAGCCAGTTACCCAGGTCCCTCCATGGGTTAGAATTACTGTGATGGAGAGTAGGTTTCTCATCTGTGATCTCCCAATTTCCCTAACAATGTGCAGCACTATTATGGGATCATGATTATAATTCAAGTACAAGAGTAAGCCAAAGGGAAGGTGGCACAGAGCTGTTCAGTAGAACAGAGCTACAGAGAACGAAACAAAAGGTCAATCTCTGTTCTCTGGTAATCACATCAAGTCTCCTTGGGCCTGTAGGGTCCATGGCCCAGGGCAAAACAGGATCCTGCAGCCAGAAAAATCCACAACCTGAATGATTGCTTAAATTAATGTGCTCTTTGCATTTTGGTTTGCCTCTTTAGAATTCATTCCAGTCTGCCCTGAAAATGCATGTTGTTTCTCTAAAGAGTTCTGATGGAATATGGAATGAGATCTCCTTTGACAGTTTAGCTGTAAATAGAGAGTGTAGACCTCTCTGGTTATTAACATAGTGTTTCATTTGTCCAGCAACTGTTAGAATACAGATGGAACATCTGCAGGAGGCATAGCTTATCTGATTCCTGTGGTCTCGTTTTGGATATCTAATCCCTTCTCTCTATTATCAAATAAGTGAAGAGATGTATCAGACAACTCTTCTAGTTTCAAATGACAGAAACACAATGAACGGTAGCTTAGGTCAAAAATCACAGTCATTGCCCATATAAATATGAAGTTCAAGGGTGTCTGTCTTCTGGCGGGTCTGGAGCCAACACCTCCTATCATGCCTCTCTCCGTATAGAGTTCTCAGCTCTCCTTGAATGTCTGTGGCTTCATTCTACGGATAGATTCTAACCACCTTTTGAACAACAAGGTCACTGGTCTCAGTTTCTCACCGAGCAAGCCTACGGGAAGGAGGTCTTTCTTTCAGTCCACAAGCCAATCCTAGGGATGCTCTGAGTTGCCCTGCTTGGTTCTCTTGCCCATTCCTCAACTGTCACCGGAGAAAGGTGGACACTTACTAGTCACCCAGGTCATTTATTTGCCCATGTCTTTGTGCATTACACCACCACCCCAATAGTGTGGGGTTGTAAGAGCATTAGGATGAGAGCTGAGGACCTGGTTCATTGGTTCATTGACTCATGTTTTCCTCAGGGCCTCAGTTTCCCCTTCTGTCAAATGAGAGCAATAGACTGGCTGATCCAGATCTAACATTTGAGGATCTAAGACACAGGTCTAAGCTTCCATGACAGCATTCTGCGATTATATTTTGATTCCAGTATTCCAGTCCATAGTTCTATAAAGCACGTGACATCTTATGATTTTGTGATGTTATTCTATAATTAGGAGCTCTGGTAGCGTAGAGCCTAGGGCATTTGACTGCTAACCAAAAGGCTGGTGGTTCAAACCCACCAGCCACTCCTCAGAAGGAAGATGGGGCAATCTACTTCCGTAGTGATACTGCCTCGGAAACCCAAGGAGGGGTCGTTATGAGTCGGGTCCGACTCAATGGCACATAACAACAACAACAACAACAATTCTATAATTGTTTAACAACATTCTGAGCTTCTGGATGTTGGCTCTTCATCTTTAATCTTTAGAAGACATAAATGCATATTAAAAAATGAATTCATAAGTACTGTGTCAGTTTTCTATTGCTAAAAAAAATCTTAGTGGTTAAATAAACAACTATTTTATTATCTCTCATGATTCTGTGGGTTGGTTGAGCTCAGCTGGGCAGTTCTTCTGCTCCACATGAAGTTAGTCAGGGCTGCAGTGGAATATACCAGTGTCCAAGATGGCTTACCCACATGGTTGGCAGCTGGTGTTGGCTGTTACTGGGAGCTCCATTGAGACTGTCACCCAGAGCACCTTGGCTTTCCTTTCTGTGATCTCTCCATGTGTCTTGGGCTACAACCGGATTCCAAGAGGCAGGAAGTAGAAAGTTCCTATTCTGTTAGGATCTGGGACTGAAAGTCACTGCGTTCAAGGGTTGTAGACAAAAGCTCCATGTGAGGTGTGGTGTGCTCATAAAGGCATAGCAACAGTGTTGGGGAGGAGGATGCATCTTTCAGCACTGACTACTACAAGTTCAGATGCCTAAGTAAAGCACCTGCTACAACAGCTGTGGTTGCACAGTGGAGTCCAGAACTGGTTAAAATGCCCTTTGTCTGCCAGATCCTGGGGACTGGTGTCTGTCAGTAGCTCATCATGGCCTAAAACAAGTGCCTCTCTCTGAGCCCCAGTTTGCCCTTCTGTAAAATGGAAGCATTGGTCTTGAAGATGCTGGAGGTGTCTCTGCCCCTAACCCTCTGTCCCTCTATGCCTCTAGGTACTCCTTCCAGGATGAAGAGGACATGTTCATGGTGGTCGATCTACTGCTGGGGGGCGACCTGCGTTACCACCTGCAGCAGAACGTACATTTCACGGAGGGAGCTGTGAAGCTCTACATCTGTGAGCTGGCTCTGGCCCTGGAGTACCTGCAGAGATACCACATCATCCACAGGTAACCAGTCTGCTGGAGGGCTGCTCAGCCAGCGGTGTCCTGCAGCCCTCCACAGGACATTCTGCAGCAGTGGGGAGAAGTGTTTTATCACTGACGTTCTTTAGGAGTGGCAGTGCATGGCGATAATAGAAAGCACAACCTCTTTTATTATTGCATTTTACTCCCTGCACTATGCCACCAGAGCTCCGTAACAGATAGCTTACAACCGGAGCCTTGGTGGCATTGTGGTTAAGCTATTAACCTAACCAAAGGTTGGTGGCAACAGTGTCAATCCAACTCGTTGAGGGCCTTCCCCTCTTTC